AAGCAATCGGATGTCTGAGACATTGATGAGGTTTGAGTGAATGAAACAGGCTATCTGTGGATATATATATATATATATATATATATATATATATATATATATATATATATATTAGGCATTTTATATCAATCTATTTGTTCATTCTGTTCGTAACTATCTATCAGCTAGCTTGACTCTGTTTTATATCTATATATCTATCTCTCACATTCTGTTAATCTATCTCGTTCCGCAAATATATATATATATATATATATATATATATATATATATACATAGATTGATAATATTAGTGATAAATATACACACACATATACAATCATATATCTAAAATATATAAGTATATATACATACATACACATGCATATGTATATATATATATATATATATATATATATATATATATATATATATATATATATATATATATACCAGCCTCTTCCTTAACTATCTTTCTATCAGCTTGCTGCTTCAGACTCATATGCCTTTTATCTATCTATATACATATATATCCCAGTCTGTTAATCTATCTATCTCTTTCCGTTAATCTATCTATCTATCTATCTATCTATCTATCTATCTATCTATCATGCTAGCAAGCTCTCCTCCAGCAGTACAACTTTGACCGCATATTTTTATTTTTTAAATCAATGTAATATGCAAGATATACACATTTCATCTTTCTATCAAATTCATTCTATATATTCGAATATATTTAAGTTCATGACATTTGTTCTAAATCATCTCTGAAATGAAACAAACACACGCATATATATATATATATATATATATATATATATATATATAGATAGATAGATAGATAGATGATAGATGTTTTTTCTCTTTTAAAATATTCACTTTTCTCTCGTTGGAACAACCATAAACCCATTTAATATATATATATATATATATATATATATATATACAGCATTTATATAGTTATATACTATTTAAATTTGTTATTTTCTACTCTTTCTCTTTCTATTTCCTTTTGGTCTCATATCTCCTTTCTTTTACTCAGACAATCCCAATCCAACCCCTCTTCCCCCCACCCGCCATTCTTCTGCAGCGGCAAACACCATATACGAGCACATATTTAGAAATCAGTGTTTTTATTCAATTTCTAACCTCCCGCAGTTACCTCCCCCTGTCTAATGTCAAAAGTAAGTGACAAACCCCAAAAAAGAAATGAAAATGCATCCATTAAGAAATCAAGACAGAAATGAAAATGCAAAAGTTACTAAATATCTGCATTTTCGCTTACTTCCATTAGAAGGCATATTGTTTGCCGACAATCTCAGTGGCAGCTTTTTACGGGTGGTGTCGGGGGAAAGTATTTTTAGATGGGTGGACTGAAGAGGTCTTCCGAAATATTTGCCTTATCGCAATATTCGCAAAGAAAAGGGTTAGCATAAAATAAGATAGTGCTGGAAATAGCAGTACGGATGATGCAAAATATATCGGTCCACCTCCCCCCCCCAAAAAAAAGAAAAATTAAAAGAGGCAAAGTTTCAACCAGGAATAAAATAAAGTCGGAAAAGAGAGGAATGAAGAGAGAATGGGGAAAGAATTTAAATGTAATTTAAAAAGGAAAAACAAAAGAAAAAGAAACGAATGAAAAAAGAAAAATGAAAGAAAAAAGAAACAAAAAAACAAAAAGGAATGACAGCAAATAGTAAAAAGATTGAATAAATAAATAGATAAATAACAACTAAACAAATGAAAGAATGAATGAAAGAAAGAAAGAAAGAAAGAAAGAAAGAAAGAAAGAAAGAAAGAAAGAAAGAAAGAAAGAAAGAAAGAAAGAAAGAAAAAAACGAGAGGATGAAATGTTATATGAAAGAAAAAAAGAAATAAAGTTAGGAGAGAATGAAAGAAAGAAAAAAGAAAGAAAATACTACAAGAAAGAAAGAGACATAAAAATACCAAAAAAAATACAAAAAAGATACAAAAGGACTAAACGAAAAAAAGAAAGAAATCAAAAAAGAAAAAAATATGAATGAAGAAAAGAAAGAAAGAAATGTGAAAAATATTGAAAAAATAAATAAATAAATAAATAAATAAATAAAGAAAGAAAGAAAGAAAGAAAGAAAGAAAGAAAAGGGAGGAAGTAATGTCACTGAATGACATAAATACATTTCGGTCGGAAAAAGAAAGAAAGAAAGAAAGAAAGAAAGAAAGAAAGAAAGAAAGAAACGACAGAATGAAATAAAAGAAAGAAATTTTGGAAAGAATGAAAGAGCGAAAAAGAAAGAAAATACTACAAAAAAGAAAGAGAAAGAAAAATACGAAAAAGACTGAACGAAATGCACAAAAATAAAGAAATCAATAAAGACAAAAATATGAATAAAGAAAGAAATATGAAAAATATTGAAAAAATAAAGAAAGAAAGAAAAAGGGAGGAAGTAATGTCAATCAAAGACATAAATACATTTCGGAAAGAAAGAAAGAAAGAAACAAACAAAATGCAACAAAAAAGAAAGCGAAAGAAAGAAAGAAAATACGAAATGCAGTGAAAAAAATGGAAAAATATAAAGAAATCAAAAAAAGGAAAATGTAAGAATGAATAAAAGAAAGAAAGAAATACGAACTAAAGAAAGAAAGAAAAAAGGGAGGAAGAAATGTTAAACAAAAACAAGCTGCAGGCAGAATGAAAAAATGAAATACATTTTTGAAAGAAAGAAAGAAAGAAAGAAAGAAAGAAAGAAGGAAAGCAAAAAAAAGAACTTCCTTTACGAAGAAAAAGAAGTAAAGTAAACAACAAAATAAAGACGGAAGGAATGCCATATTTACAGACATTTGGAAAATCTAGGATTGAGATAAATAAAAAGAAAATTCAGAAGAGAAGGAAGGAAAGAAACACAGAAGAAAAGATAAAAAAGGATGGCGGAGGAAAAAGTAATTAAAGCGAGCCAAAAGAAAGAACGAAACAAATAATGAAAAAAAAGAATGAATGAAAGAAAGAAAAAAAGAAACAAAGGAAAAAGAAAGAAGAAAGAATGAATGTAAGAAAGAAAGAAAGAAAGAAAGAAAGAAAGAAAGAAAGAAAGAAAGAAAGAAAGAAAGGAATTGGAACAAAAATTTAAAAAAAATGAAAGAATGTAGAATGTCGAGAAACGTGAAAAGTCAGGATAAGGACAAAAGAGAAAAAAATCAAAACATTAAATTTTAGGACGAAAATAAGGAAGAAGGAAAATAAAGAAAAATTGAAGAAACATTATAAAGCAGTAAAAAATCATTAAAAATGAAGAAAAAGGGAGAAAGAAAAACAAGAATATAAAGACAAACGGAGAATGTAAAGAAAGGAAGCCAAACGATAATAGAAGAAAAACCAAAACCTACAAAGAATGAAAAAGTAAATGAAAGAGAAAATAAGGAAAGAAAGAATGAAGTGATGTCGGATGAACAAAAACCTATGACTAAAGTCTATGATAAAGAAGCATATAAAAGTTAATGGAAGAAGGAAGAAACAGAGAGGGGAAAAGAAGAAAATTTTAAAGAAAGTGAAAAATAAAGGAATAATGAGGGATTAAAAAAAACGCAAGATAAGAACAAAGAAGCAAAAAGTAAAACAATAAAAATTAAAGAAAGAAGGAAGGAAGAAAAAGTGTAAGAAAAGTAAAATGAACAAAAAGAAATATGAAAGAAGCTAAGAATAAATAATAGGACATTTTCCTTCTATGATTTAAAAATTGAAACGAAGAAGAAAGAATGAAAGAAAGGAAAAAAAATGAAAAGAAAATAATTAAAAAGGCAAAAATGGAAAAGAAAATTTAACATGAATAAAACAAAAACTGAAAGAAAGTAGTTATGAGAATAAAATGAGGAAAAAACTAAAATATAAGCGTATAGAAAGAAAGAAAGAAAGAAAGAAGAAAGGAACGAAAGAAAGAAAGGAACGAAAGAGATAACGAAAGAAAAGAATGAAAGAAAGAAACGAACAAAAGAAAAAAGAACTAATGAAATAAAAGAACGAAAGAAGGAAACGAACAAAGAAGGAACGAAAGCAAAAAATAACGAAAAAGAAGAAAAAACGAAAGAAAGGGAAAAGAAAAAAAAGAACGAAAGAAAGAACAAAAAAAAAAAGAACGAAAAAGAAAGAAACGAAAAAAAAAAGAAAGAGAAAAAAGAAACGAAAGAAAGTAACAAAAGAAAGGAGCGAAAGAAAGAAAAGAACGAAAGAAAGAAACGAACAAAAAAGAAAAAGAACGAAAGAAAGAGAGGAATGAATGAAAGAAAAGAGCGAAAGAAAGAAAAGAACGAAAGAAAGGAACGAAAGAAAAAAAGAAACGAAAGAAAGAAAGGCGCGAAATAAAGGAAGGAGCGAAAGAAAGTAACGAAAGAAAGAAAGGGGCGAAAGAAAAGAAGAAAGAAAGAAAGAAAGGGCGAAAGAAAGGAACGAAAGAAAGAAAGGAGCGAAAGAAAGAAAGAAGCGAAAGAAAGGAAGGAGCGAAAGAAAGGAACGAAAGCAAGGAAGGAACGAATGAAAGAAAGAAAGGAGCAAACGAAAGAAAGGAACCAAAAAAGAAAGAAAAAGAGAACAAAAATGAAAGAAAGAAAAAGAACGAATGAAAGAAAGGAACGAAAGAAAGAAAGGAGCGAATGAAAGAAAGGAGCGAAAGAAAGGAAAGAGCGAAAGAAAGGAACGAAAGCAAGGAAGGAACGAATGAAAGAAAGAAAGGAGCAAACGAAAGAAAGGAACCAAAGAAAGAAACGAACAAAAGAGAAAAAGAACGAATGAAAGAAAGGAACGAAAGAAAAAATAACGAAAGAAAGAAAGGAAAGAATGAGACGAAAGAAAGAAAGTAACGAAAGAAAGAAAGTAACGAAAGAAAGAAAAGAACAAAAGAAAGGAAGGAAAGAAAGAAAGAAGCGAAAGAAAGAAAAGAACGAAAGAAAGAAAGAAGCCTAAGAAAGAAAAGAACGAAAGAAAGAAAGAAAGAAGAGAAAGAAAGAAAAGAACAAAAGAAAAGAACGAAAGAAAGAAAGAAAGGAGATTTCATAGTTGAATTACCAACAATACATTATAGAGTAAAATGGCAAACAATACATTTTATATGAAGTTGAAGACATACAATTGCGATTAAAATATATTTAGTTGAAGCCATCAAATTGCGTTCAAAGTATTTAGATTTTGGCATTAATTAATCCCATAGTAATTGATTTGCCATGAAGAGTCATGACATTAATCCATATATCTTACAATTTCTTAAATCAAACTGTATTTTAAAATATAACTGCAACAAAACTACAACGTAAAACATACATATCACCGCTTCTAGTAATTATGTCCCCGCAAACTTGTATATGCACACAGAGCTGAGTATCATTTACCATGTATTCTACTGTGAAAGCAGAATAACACATTGAATGAGCCACAATTCAACTAACTTTGCCTCGTACCATCTGTATCGGACGTGGTTGTGAATCCCTGTATCCTGGAGGTGATCATTAAAGATCAGAGTCGTCCAATGAAGAGGAGAAATCGTTAATACCTTCTAACAGGCAATGTATTCCCACAATATCACCTCTGCACAAGAGCATTTTTTAAACCAATGTTTACCCTATACATGACCCAAGTGCTAGTCAAGGTAGAGGATTACTTTAATCGTTTGTTGTGTGAGCGGTAAAACTTTTACAGTGATGTTCACCCCGTCCAAGGAGTCCTAGGTATGAAGATAAACTACATCCGGTATATTTGGATTTTTTGAGGAGAGTTGAACCACCTCTTAATTGATGTTGTTTGTATATCCACCTTGACCTGGGGTGGTAGCACCTGTTAGGGTCACAGTTATGGGCAAATAGTGAACTTTCAAACAAAAACATGAAAATATAAAAATAAAGTTTAATAATAAAAATACCAGGAATACATTTTTATATAATAAACGACCGACAATACATACTCAGCAATACATTTTATCTGTAGCTGAAGGTATATAATTGCGTTCAAAATATATTTAGTTTAAGCCATAAAATTGCGTTCAAAATATATTTAGATGAAGCCATAAAATTGTGTTCAAAATATCTAGATTTCGACATTAAATAACCCAAAGACTTCATATGTGGCTAAACAAAAGCAACAAAACCAGCCAATCTATACAAACCCCGAGAGCCACTCGAGGTAGAGGATTACAGAATAAGAAGTACAGATTATGCGGGTATATGGGGAAGATGGCGGTTAACGAAGTTCTACAGGGTAGCCATTGACAAACTGAATGATATAAAGCAAAAATAACTTTTACAAACACATGAATATCTTGTGGTAGTAAAGTTTGGACCATTTGAAATTTGTCTGGAACCATTTATAAATTCAGTTTCAGAATATTCTAAAGCGATGTTCTTACGATACCTAGTTGAGCAGGGTGACGACTGGTAGAAGTTGATGGATCCTCAAGGAAACTCTGCCGTGTAGCTTCTACCGCTGCATCAATGTGCACAAAATGCTTAGGACCTTTTCCCGAAAGATCACCGACTGATCCCGTTCTTTAAAACGGGGCGATTAGGTTCCGAATCATTTTATCGGTAGGAGATACTCTGACATTAGTATGTTGCCGGTATTTTTCTCTGAGTTTGAATAACTGATCTTTCATTAAAATAGAAAAACTAAATGAGTTTTACCCGTTGCGGACAATCATAGGTAGCCATTTTAATCTCCAAGTGTTGCTATATATACCCGCATAAAAGAAAAATAAAATCAAAAATTATGTTAATAAACAAATTAAGACTTTTCCAAATCTTCAGTTTTTCAAAGGTTACCCTAAACTTCAGCCTCGCCGACCCTGATTTCTTTTTAATTTCCAGGGATACTGAACAGTTCTTCTCTGAATGGTGCTTTAACGTCTGTTGTTACTCAAATTCATCTCAGGGTTCAAGCCGATCTTATCTAAACGATCCCTTGATAACGATGCTGGAAAAATGGTTCTTGTTTCAAAAATCTGACCGGACTAAAAAAAATAGAATATTTCTTTCGTTCTGGAGCTGCCTAATCCTCAATTTCCACGCTTGGTAGAGTTCAAAATTCTTTATGCGGCCTTGTGGAGCATGACTTATCTGCCCCTATCTCAACAACACAAGCCTCTAGCTACTTTATCGCTATTTCCATGGCAAACGAGCTACATTCCTTAAATACACCAGCTCAGTCCTTTACAGCTGAAACCCTCCATGCTATGTACACGGGGTTGAATCTTCCTTATTCATTTTGTGGTCCATTGAGAAGAAAGAAATTCGATTCAGCTTCCTTCCAAGAACGGCTAATTTGGCACAGACTCCCGAAAAGATGATTCCTCGAATAATTGGAACCTCTTCAAGTTTGGCTCAGTCTTTAACTATCTTATATATCCTCATAATAAGGACTTCTTCCTATTACGTTCATATCACATAACTCCTTGCGTAACCCTCTCCGTTGAGGCCTTTTATTTTGTGAACATTTAGCGCCCCGTTCATCTGGGGTCCATTGATATGGTCCGCTTAAATTCTAATGATTCTCTTCGGCTTGCCTAGGAAAGGTTAATGCATATACCACCTATGCCTCAGAATGCGTGTCTTCTGAATTTCAATAAACATCCCGACAGTAGATTATTTACATTATTCGGACTATTGTCCTCATCTTTGTAGGCATATTTATTACAACTAAATAAATAAGTATGGCGACAAAAATGAGGACAATAGTCCGAATAATGTAAATAGTGTACATAATACCTCATCTCAGAAATATAGACAGATACTGAAAGACCGAAACTTTGTAATAAATATGGCGACAAAGATGAGAACAATAGTCCGAATAATGTAAATAGTGTACATAATACCTCATCTCAGAAATATAGACAGATACTGAAAGGCCGAAACATTGTGATAAATATGGCGACAAAGATGAGGACAATAGTCCGAATAATGTAAATAATGTACATAATGCTTCATCTCAGAAATATAGACAGATACTGAAAGGCCGAAACATTGTGATAAATATGGCGACAAAGATGAGGACAATAGTCCGAATAATGTAAATAATGTACATAATGATTCATCTCAGAAATATAGACAGATCCCGGCAGTAAAATCCGTTAAAGTCGAGATGTTGAATGCTGTTAGAGATCTCATGATTTTCATCGATTTCGATTGTCGTAATAAATCTTCCCTCATTATTTTTCTAAGTATCAGCGTAATTGATGTTTTTATTTCCCTTAAAAATTCTTGCTACTTACATGTCCAGTTCATGGAATTCTCAGCACTGTGACGTCGTCCCCCGGTTGCAGCGCCGACTGTGACGTTCTATCCTGATCTACCACGGCGCCAGTTGTGACGTCCCTAAACAGCACCAATTGTGACGTCTTCGCCGCGGCGTCAGCTGTTCGCTCCTCGCTGCTCCGTCCGGGTGTCGCTGCTCCAAACGTGACGTTCTAACCCTTTGGTGATTCGGGTAGGAATCTGGTTAGATTGATACCAGCCTCGCCGTTCCCAACCTGCTTCCAACGCCTGGTTACCGGGGTAACTGCACTGATCTCCAGTCTGCCTACCCACGTTGTGAATTGATCTTAGACAGACGAGATCAAACAGGGGTTGGGGCCGTAATGCAAGCTGAATTCAACGGGGGTGATAACACACAAATATGTATAAAAGAAAATAAAATGAAAACTCACAAAGTTCAAAGTATCAAAGAAAAAGGTAACAAACTTTTTATGTCTATTTGTTCGGTACATAGGACTATGTCTACTTCCCGACCCGTTCTGTGGATTGTGGCACGACGCTTTCGCTAGGCAAATTCTAACGCTTCAAGTTGTCTACTCTCTAAGAAATTTGTGTTTCGGTGTGTCTTTGGACGAAAGTCGAAAAACTTATTTCTGTGGTCTGGTCCTAAGTCGCTCTTCAAACTACTTGTTCTTGGTTGAAGAAGAGTCCAAAAGTGTGCGTGAATCTTGGTCAGCTATCTTGATGTGGTTTCAACACTGGGCACTCCTTTGCCTGCCGTCCGGAGCTCAACTCTTCTCTCCAGAGTCTGAATTACTGGGCACTCATCTCTGCCGCCGGTGCGCGAGCTAACTTCTTCTCGCCAGCTTGGGTCGAACGAACTTCTTCTCGCAGGGCCAAACGAACTGGCCTCTTCTGCCCGCTAGGGGCGAACGAACTCTGCCCGCCGTCCGCGGCTCAACTCCGCCTGCCGTCCGCGGCTGCACTGATTTCTGTCTGGTGGGGCTTCGTTTTTTATTGACGCCGTCAAAACTGGGGTGGTTCTGTTTGGCGTCGGGGGTTCCTCGATAATTCTAAATACGTATCCACCCTTCTTATTTCTGGTTAGGGATTTTTCACTCTTTTTCCATTTTTGGTAACTCTTTTCTCACTCCCACTCTCTTACCGTGCTTCTGAGGGGCGTGCACTACCTTCCCCACTTCTTCGTATCGGCTTCTCACACTTACACTCTGATAGAGGCGTCGACTGATTTTTTTCGTGCGTCACGTGAACGACCGCTCTCGGCCAATGAGGTCCTGGTCGGGTATCTTTCCTCCTTGTTCGTGCGTCATGTGATCCACTTGGCCAATGACGTCTTAGTCGGGTATTTTTCCTCCTCCTTCGTGCGTCATGTGATCCACTTGGCCAATGACGTCTTAGTCGGGCGTGAATAACCCGTGGCTTTGTTTTGGGAAAGAAATACCTTGCTTAACTAAAAAACTTTTTTAATTAAATCGCCCTTATCATGAGCGGCCGATGTGACACTCTCGGCTTTAACACGTGGCGTTCGTCAAGCAGTTTATCGCTAATTGGACATGATCTAAGAAAGAAATTTTCCTAGCCTACCTGGCGTCTCTAAAGCAAAAAATAAAATATTTCATTTTCCTTTCGGCCCATGGGTTGATAACAAAAATCTTTATTATCACAGGGCAAACGTTTATTCTGTCAAAAGAAAGAAAAATTTAGCAAGTGAAAATTTCTTGTGTGGGATTTTTTTTAACACAGGGAAGACTGTCTGTGTTTCGTCAATGTTCAACAATGGATTTCTTCTTTTGGGTGA